GCGAATTATCAGAGGATCCATTGGAAATGGTTGATATTGTGATCGGATTTGGTAATTCCTTTGATACATCCGGCATATTAGCATTATGAAAGTTAATTTTATCATTTGTTACTGGAAATTGAAGTATATCCGAATTGCAAATATATCCTGGTAAATTTGATGTTAAACATTATTGCGATATTTTTTTGAAAAATAGAAAAGTGCTGCACAACATCGATGTTTGTAAATTTTTCATCAATTTTAATTCCATGAGAAAAATGAAGCGTTAAAGTTAGAGATGAGCAAAGTTTGTTTTGTTCTCGTGAATATGAGATTTTCAAAGAAAAAAAACGTTAAAAAAAGTGAAATAGCGCTAATAATATGCTAATAACATGGATATGGCATCATACATCTCTTCATTTTCGAATTTCCGATCTTTGGCACTATTTTAACGAACTGTTTCACCCTCGAAGGGGCCATCAAAACAAGAGATTGAAAATATTCATATTTGGAATTCATCAGAATCCTTCACTTCCTATAATCTTCTCTTCAAAAAAGGTGAAATTAATGAAACAGGGAGATGAAGATTTAATCCAAATATTTTGGAATTCAGAATTTTGCTTAAAAATATGAAGCGATAGTGATTGGACGGTAATCTGCTAAACATCAGTCCCAGCATCAGAACCGACCCTACTTGGTTTGCTTTTGCATTTCTTCATATAAATCGTAATTACGACAGTAATGAGTATCGTAGAAAAGGATGCTGCTGCAATTACCAAAATAAGGGACCATAATGTAGCTGCTTTCGAATTCCGTACGGCTACCAGAGAATTTTCTGTAGTAATCAATTTACAGTCACCATCGATCAATTGATGTTCTAAAAAATATAACCTCACTTATCCTCAATATATTTTCAAGTGGTCGATCGCTATACCAAAAAGTTGGATAAAAGCTGGACTACAAAGTAAATTCTACGATTAGACGGCCATTCTTCTTCTCCTCGAAAATCTCCCAACTCTTATTGTAAGTGATGTTTGTTGTTTCAACTGACCTGCTGATTCATTTTTCTTTTCACAATAATTATAACAATGCACTTGTCTAAGTGTAAACATCACTTTTGTCACTTATCAAATCCTGCGAAGAATACGATAAGATATCACTCTGGAAAGTGAAAGAAGACGCATAATGATAACTTCTTCAACAATATAGTTTGCATTATGATTTTCCAAGAGCGTAATATCTCCTTCACTTTATGTTCTCATTAATTATGCCAGTGAACTATGGCTGTGAAATTTACCGTAAGCACACTGATTGCAGTCTTCGCCAGTCCAGTTCTGTACACAAGAACAGAGATTCTCGACCGTAATACTGCCATGGATGCATTCGATTGGTGTCTCACAAAATGGACCAGTGAAACCTATGTCACAGAGACAGAAGCTATCCATCTGAAGGGAAACACTAATGATTAAATCTCTTCGAAATTCCAAACAGACTAAGATCAAGACTTTCTGACACTTCTGAAATTCTCAAAATTTACTTTGATTTCTAAACTTTTCACTGGTTAACAAATTAGAGGAATTTCCTTTAGAAAATCTAAGTTTTAGAAATCTTAAAAAATGTCCTAAAATCCCAACATTACCTGTCCTTCGGATCCAACAGAAATCCCATTATGGCACATTCGAGACTGACAAAATATTCCGGTCCATCGGTTCTCACATTTACACCGACCGTTTTCCAGCTTCCCCTTGCCTTCGATACATTGTGTTACCTTTTCACATCTTTCACCTGCAAAATGTTTCATAAATTACTTCAAGAACTGAAGTATTTGCGTCTTTCGTTACCTGCCGATGAATGAAGCAAGGCAAAATTACCTCTCATAGAACTTGAAAATTATTTGGGACACCCTTTTTATTTGAAACTTTCAGTATGAAATTTTGTCCAGCAATAGAGGTTTTATTACTAAATTTGGTGAAATATGTTTGATAAAACTGAAAATTGTGATAAGGACTGTTGTATAAAATCTTTTTATTAGCAGTCCCTAAAAAGAATTAGTGGATGATTACCGGTCAAGCCATAGGGACAATGGCATTTGCCAGTCTTCGATTTTCTACCACCGTGTAAACATGGCTCAATTTCGCATGCTTCACCTTCAAATCGTTCTTGACACTGACATCTACCCTACAAATAAATTAAATTTCAATCTACCGTATGATAACAACTAAACAAGATGGTATATTTGACACATCCCGCAAATTAAGACTACTTATCCTTGACAAAAAAAAAATATATAGTTCTGGTCATTTTTCGAAACCTTATTCTAATTACAACACTTGTTTTATGCAAACATTTAGATCAATTAGCCTCTATTATTGCAATTTGTCAGCAAAATTGCTAATATCGGTATTTTCAGTGCATCAATACATTCCATTTAGTATTTCTTTTTTGTCAGAGTTATAGCTCAATCTGCAAGACAAGTTTGAGGTCAGTTTGCATAGTCCAAATATTAATATTGAAGACAGAATGAGAGATGCTAGATTCCTCGTGAGATGAACCATTTGAAACAATGGAAGTTAGCAAAATGTTCTAAAATATATTTGTTATTATCAACTTTTCCAGATTCTATTTAGAATCTTTCCGGAAAAATATTCCTCAGGAATGATAATTTGACGAGGAAAAATCTA